CGCCTGAGCGCGGCCGGGGGCGGGGTCGGTGGCAGCGGAGCTGTTCGGGCGCTTGGTGCCGGCCCCCCCCGAGGCGCTGGGGATGAGGGGGCCGGGAGGAGGCGGAGGAGGAGGAGGAGGAGGAGGCGGAGGCGGAGGCGGAGGCGGAGGCGCGCCCCTGCCCGGCCTGGCGCCTCTCCGGCCGCTCGGTGCAGGCGCCGCGGGCACATCCCCCGCGTTTCCCGCGTCATACATTGGCGAAAGATCGCAAACACTTTGTCTTTCACAGGTGTGACCGGTTCAGGGCGCACGTCGGTGTTACCCAGCCAGACTTAAGAGCAGCAGCGGGCCTGTGAGGTCCCCGCCCGCGCGCCCTCCCTGAGACGCAGTTTTCGTGAAGTTGCCTAAGCGTGGGGCGGTTGCGAAGGATGGCGAATGCGCCGCGTGCCACAGTAGACTGATGAACACCCTGCCTTGAACGTTAGGAGGTTCCTGGTTCATTTCTGGTTTCAGATTCCAGTCATCTACTTCTTTCTCACAGATCAAAAAGTAAAATTAATTTTCTTACTTGCTGTTTTTTTCCCCAAAGGAAAACTTACATCCATTGCATGTTGTAATTGTTACCACAGGTTTTCTTATAAATTGAACAGCTTGAACTTTCTGCATTTCTCAGTGCAAGACATTCTCCAGCTCTTGAATATTTTATGAATATTAACTGAAAAATTTGTAGTTCCTTTTTTGCCTCCTGTCAGTGTGGTGAGTTGACCCTGGCTGGTCGCCAGGTGCCCACCAAGCCACTCTATCACTCCCTCTCTGTCAATAAGACAGCGTTGAGAAAATACGGTGAAAAGCTCATGGATTGAGATAAGGACAGGGAGATCACTTACCAGTTACTGCCTTGGGCGAAACAGACTCAACTTAGGGAAATTATTGCCAACTAATAGGATAGTGAGAAATAAAACTCAAAACACCTTCCCCCCACCCCCCACTTCTTCCCGGGCTCAACTTCACTCCCAATTTTCTCTACCTCCTTCCTCTCCAGCAGCACAGGGGGATGGGGAATGTGGGTTGCGGTCAGTTCATCACACGTTGTCTCTGCTGCTCCTTCCTCCTCGGGGGGAGGACTCCTCACACTCTTCCCCTGCTCCAGCATGGGGTCCCTCCCACAGCAGACAGTCCTCCATCAACTTCTCCATTGTGAGTCCTTCCCACGGGCTGCAGTTCTTCACAAACTGCTCCAGTGTGGGTGCCTTCCACGGGGTGCAGTCCTTCAGGAACAGACTGCTCCAGCGTGGGTCACCCACGGGGTCACAAGTCCTGCCAGCAAACTTCTTGCTCCAGCACAGGCTTCCCACAGGGTCACAGCCTCCTTTGGGCATCCACCTGCTCTGGCATGGCATCCTCCACAGGGCTGCAGGTGGATATCTGCTTTACTGTTAACCTCCATGGGCTGCAGAGGGACAGCCTGCCTCACCATGGTCTTCACAATGGGCTGCAGGGGAATCTCTGCTCCAGTGCCTGGAGCACCTTCTCCCTCTCCTTCACTGACCTTGGTGTCTGCAGGGTTGTTCCTCTCACATATTACTCCTCTCTCACAGCTGCTGTTGCACAGCAGTTTTTACCATTTCTTAGATATGTTATCACAGGGGCACTACCAAGCTCACTGAAGGGCTCAGCCTTGGCCAGTGGTAGGTCCATGTTGGAGCCAGCTGGCATTGGCTCTGTCCAATATGGGGACAGCTTCTGGTGTCTTCTCACAGAAGCCACCCCTGCAGCCACCCCGCTACCAAACGTTGCCATGTAAACCCAATACAATTAAATTTTTGGACTCTTAAAAGAGTATCAAGGCAAGACTTAACAGCAGTATTCCAGTATCACTTCCTCAGTGAAGTACTCAGTGGCCACAAAGAGCTCATGACCCACGTATTGCCTAGGATCCTTTTGGCACAGGATGGTGGTGGTTCACACCCAGGTGCTCATCTGTTTGGAGTTGCTGCTTTCTGGATTACAGTGGCCTGTTCAGCA